GATCGCGGCGGGAAATGGCTCTCCGTCATCGGTGGGTCCGGAGTGGATCCGGCGAGATCCTCCACGGGGCAGATGGTGAGTGGCGACCCGTTTCTCGCCAGAGTCCACTCCACGAAGGCGGCGAATTCCTCCCGAGGACCATCTTCGGACGACAGCGCTCTGCACTCAGCGTTCAGGCTTGCGTCATAGAAAGAGCAGAGCGCGTCGTCCGGATAACTGGTGATGTTCGCGACCAACAGGAGCAGTTTGGTATGGTCCTCGAGAGCTTTGTCTCCCTGCTCCAGCAGGAGGAGGAGGAATTCGGGGCGAGTGAAGGGATCCATGGGGACACAACGGAAAGAAAAACACTTTCTTTCCAAAAAAACGGAAAACAAACGGAGGGGAAAACACGGAAGTTACTGTTTTGGTCGGTCCTTCTGTCACAATTCTCGGGAGGCAAGGAGCGAGGAATGAGGAAACACGGAGATACTTCAATTCACAGTCTTTAATGATCTCACGGGGAATGTAGGAGACACAGGAACACATGGAATGACCTTTGGGGACCGACAAACACTAACTGAAAGGAATGGGGCTTTTAAACACTGGGTGATTGAGAAAACACAGATGCAAGGAATGACTAATTAAAAGGAACACAGCACACCTGGGGAGGGAAAACACAACACAAAGAGTCCAGGGGCGTGACATTACTCCCCCCTCCCGGAAGGTGCGTCCTCGCACCGTAGAAACAACACCAGGAGGGGAGTGGGTGGGAACTAGGGAGGAGGCTCAGGAGGAGGACGGACACCCGGGAGGGGGCCGGCGGACAGATTCCAGGGAGGAGACGACGGAGGGAGGAGCCAGGGAGGAGACATACGTCTTCCGCCATTTTAGAGAGTATCAAAATGCATACGCACACTTTCCCCTAAGTGTAAACAAAGCTGATTACGCAGATTACGTTCATGTGCGCGCTTTCTCCCGAACGTAAACAATGGTGATTACGTCGATTACGCTCTTGGGTACTCTCCAAAATGGCGGAAGATGTAACTGGGGGGGTTGTTAAATAAATTGTTATTTTTGTTTTCTTTGCACTCAAAAAGTATTCTCGTA